TAGGGAACTCTAAAAAGGTAGGTTCCTTAGGGTCCAGGTAAACCTTGAACCTCTAAACACCCTAAACCCTAAAAACCTAAACCCTAAACCTTGAAACTCTTAACCACAATCTCGGCGCCATGGCTTCTGAAGACATAGAAATCATCGGCGCCATCAGTGGCGAGCCGTTCCACTCCTTTAAGGTGCCGTCTACGGGGTTTCATAAAGCCCTACACCGGATTGAGGATTTCGGGATTCTGGAGGTTGGGATAGTGAGTTTACTTAAGGGATCCTGGGACTTAGTAGTTACAGTTATTATTAAACTAGTTATACTTAAACTATAACCCCAATTAAGGAACTTATAACCATACTCACTAAGTCCCACGATCCTCCAAGTGGGGTTTCATAAAGGGTTGGACCACACCGCAGAGACCCTAGTTAGGGTTTAGGGGTTTAGGGTTTTTTTTGCTAGTGCCCTGCGCGCTTTTCGTCAGCGCGCTTCGGCGCTCGCTCAAAGGAACTCTTCAGGTCTCGATTTATGGTCGCATACACTACGTGTGGTCCTAGGATTCCTTTACCAGGGTTGGTTCGCCAATGGTTCGGGTAATGTCTTTGCGTAGTGGTCTCTATCCAATACGGCATTTTCATACCTCTTCTACGTCCTGTGACTATGATTCGATCTTTGTATGCTGCAGCGAATACTACATTATGGCAGGGATCTTCTATTGGGGCTTGGAAGAGCGCAACTAGAAGTTTATGTTGGGCGTTGTGGATAAAGGAGGAAGGTTTTCTCGGGTGGTTTGCTATGCGCCAGACTTCTTGGTTAGTGACTCTGGAGTAATAAGACGCCTTGATATTGACAATTCTGCGTAAGAACCTCAAATAATATGCGTCTACTCTTGCTATTTGCTTGTCTGTAAGGGTGAGGGTATCCAGGCCGTATATAAGAGTGGAAATGAAGACCGATTGGAATATCCTTAGTTTAGTCTTTCTAGGTAGAGAGCTATTCCAGACCAGTCGTAGTTTTTTGTAGGCGGTTTCTGCTAGCGCTGCTCTGTGTTTGAAGGCAGCCTCAAAGGGTTTCTCCCAAGTGATCATAGTACCTAGGTACTTGACTTGCGGTGTGGTCGGAATGATCTCCCCATTCAGAAACTCTAGCTTTGGCACTGGGTGTCGCGGGTCAATCAGGAGTTCGGTTTTTCCTGTGTTGAGTTTCATACCATAGAGTAGTGCGTTACTTTCAAGAGAGTGTAGGATGGCTAGGAGCTGCGTTGTGGTCCTGGCTATTAGAAGCGTATCATCCGCATATTCTATGTCGGAGGTGGGACGGGAGACTGACCACGTATTACGGGCAATGCCTTGTGAGGCCAGGTCCCAATCTACATCCTCTAACACAACCGTAAGAACTATGATGAACAGGTAGGGGCTTAAGGGGCAACCTTGCCTGATGCCTGATCCTACCGAGCCCTTTGCGGTGTGGTCGTCAGGGCCTTTGGTGAAGAATGTGGGGTCTTTGTAGATTGAGGAGATGACTTCTAAAGACTTTCTAGAGAGCCCAAACCTACGGAGGGCGACTAGCATGGCGTTGTGGTCGAGGGAATCGAAAGCCTGTTTCCAATCCAAGAAAAGATAGTACAGCGGGTTATTGGTCATTTCGGACCACTCCATGGATCTTCTAAGAATAAAAAGGGGCTGCGTGGTCCCGCGGTGTGGCCGAAATCCAAACTGTGTAGTGCGCAGTCGCTCTTCGTGTTGTGTGGAAAGTCTTGCTTGGAGCATGGCTGCAAAGAGCTTATAAATGCCATTAAGTAGCGAGATCGGTCGGTAATTGGCGGGGTCTGTGTCTGCACCCTTTCCTTTATAGATTGAAACTACTATTGCTTCTTTCCATTCGTCCGGTATTTCTTCTACCTCCCAGATTTTGTTGTAGAAATCTAACAGAAGTTGTATGTTGTCATCATCTAGTAGACGGAAAAGCTCGTTGGCGGTTTGGTCGGGACCTGGCGCTTTTCCTGGTCGCATTTTGCGGAGTGCGTCCTGTAGCTCTGTGAGTGTAAATGGTGTTTCGTCTGCGGCCGGCGGGTTGATTTGCCTTTTGTTTTGTAGCTGCGATAGTCTGGCGTCCGCTTCCTGGTGCGTCGCCCATTGCTGGTTTTGGAGGTGGTCGCGGAACGCTTCATGCGTTTGGCTCCATGGTATTGGTTTTCCTTTGATTATGAGGTGTGATTTTTTACCCCTGAATCCAGCCTTTTGGCGTTTCGCTGCCTTCCAGACCGAGCTGTTTTCTGCAAGGGGATCCTCCAGGAGCTGGTCGTGCACCCATTTGACCCTGTCTTTGCGGGCTGATCTTTTAGCCTGGTTGCGCTTTTGCTTTGCGGTGTGGTCCCCTTGTGCTTCTGCCTGCCTAGCTACCTGTAGGAGGTTGAGGGTGTGATCGGAAATCCATGGCTTGCGTTGTCTGCGAGTGGCGGGGTTGAACGTTTGCTTGGCGGCTTCCTTCAAGTTGTCCGTGAAACGGTCCTCGTGTATTGGCGGTGTGGCCGTTGCGTGATCTGGGATTTGTGCAGAAGTGCCCGTGCGGTTGCGTGATCGCTTCCCTTGGTTGGCAAGTTTGTCCGCGCGTTCGTTGCCCTCGTGGCCCTTATGCGCCTTGATCCAATGAAACTGAACGCGGATCGGCTTGAGCTTCGTGAGTTGCTTGGCGAAATTCACTAGGTCCTTGTTGCGCTGTGCTCGCCATTTGCCTGTGATGACGTTTTTCGCCCATAAACTGTCTGTGTGGATGTGGACTTGGGTTGTGTTTTGTTGGTGGGCGTGAAGCAGCGCTTCAATAATGGCTGTAAGTTCTCCTGTGTTGTTAGATCCTACCAAAGCCCCCCTAAATGCGGTGTGGTCAGGATCGGTGGTTACCGGTCCGAACGCATCCTCCCATCCGTCTGCTGTGCGGCGAGTCCATCCCCATCCGGCTGCGGTGTGTTTGGTGCAGCGCCCAGCTGTACCTGAACCGTCTGTGTAGTAGTGGTCTGTTTTATCAGGGGTAGGGGAAGGCGGCTGCGTGGTCTCCGTTTCTTCCAGAATGAGCTCTCTAAAAATGGAATTGAATTCCGTTTTGAGGTCTTCGGTTTGTTTGGAGAGATCCAATCTGGGTGGTCGTGGTGGCTTGTTTTGCTTGGCTGCTAGACGAATCTGTACATCCGAAATGACCGGGTAGTGGTCTGAGGGGAAACCCGCGTGAAGTCTAGACCTGCACTGATGTACTGTGTTGAGCCATTGCTTACGCACAAAGAGGTGGTCCAACCGCTGAAATCTGACTGGATCTGCCTGCGGTGTGGTCTTTGGGGGTGGGAGCAAGTCTGGTAGCTCTAGGAATGAACGCACGATGGTAGCAACCTGTAGGGGGAGATTGGGGTCAGTGTTAAGTTCGTGGTGAAAGTGGGAGTAAAGTTGTTGCATGGGGATGGGGTCTAGAACAAACTGCGACCAGTCGGGTGGAGGTGCAGTTTTGTCCTTGTACGTAATGTGATGAACGGGGCTAGGTGTGATCCAGGAGGCAGCCTCTACCATACCTAGTAGTTGCATGGTACGCACGCAAAGAGAGCGATTCGAGTGGGCGTTGTGGTCAATGAACCTAGAACCCTTTCCGTATGTGTATGGTCCCGTAACTCCTTCATCATTTTTGTGCTGTGCCTGGAACCTGACATTGAAGTCACCTACCAAATATACCGGTTCTGGCTGCGGTATCTTGGAAATTCGTTCTTCAAGGTTATCCCAAAATGGGGCCCTGATGTCCTCATAGTCTAAACCCGAGTGTGGTGCATAGGCTCCGATGACATGTACGTTACCACCCCGCTGCTTAAAGACCAAATGCAGTAGTCTAGTGGAGTCTTGCATTACATCCAAAAGGTGTGGTCGCACCTGAGGTGCAATGATGGCTCCAACCCCTGCATATTTGTCTTTGCTGTTACCCGAGAGGATTACAAGGTGTTTTTCCGACTGATACGAGTAATAGGAAGTGCTCCTAGTTTCTGAAAGCATCAGTACATCGATCTTGTGCTCCTGCATGATGAGAATGGCATTCTTTAGCTTAAGTGTGTCGGCGAAGCCCTGAACATTGAGCGAACCAATTCTAAGCTTATTGCCATATGGTAACGGCGGTGTGGTCGGGTAGTTCACCGGCCTTTTCTTCTTGTTGCGCTTAATCTGTTCCTGCCAATGGATACTGTGTTTGAACCATTGGGCCCTGGTTGGGGCGGCGTGTTGGGGCTTAGGGGGGACAGGGTGTGAAGAGCCCAACTTCGGCACCCGTACCTTGTTACCCCCGCGGATCCAGAGGCGGTACGCGCGGCGGCGTCTCGCCCTACCTGAACCCCCCGCGGGAGTTGTGGTCCCACCCTTGTTTTGGGTAAACTCTTCGTCCCCTCTAGAAGAGGGTCCCGGCGCGCCTCGTGGAGGCGGTTTTCGGCTTGGTTTTAATTGGTGGTCGAATTCGGCGCCTTTACCTTTAAGGGGCGGGCGGGGCTTCTTAGCGAAAAATACCGAACCATTTTGAGGACGGATTTGAATTCTACGACCCGTTCGGGCTTTAGCCTTATTAAGGGTGAAAGCTTGCGTTGTGGTCTGAAGAAACTGCGCATCATCGACACTTTTGCTGGAGCGGCAGCGAAGCAGCACGTCACGCGGGTATTGGTACTGAGGTTTGGTCTCAACTGAACTGTCTTGGGTGGGGAATATAGACTCGTAAAGGCTTATGGGTTGGGGTTGTAAAAAGGGCAGAGAGGCTCTAGGCGGAGAACAGTGTTACCTTGCAGTGTGTGAACGAGCTTGTTTCTGGCTTTGGAGGATAAGTAACCCCTATGTCTCCTAGGGGGTGGGGGAGGCGGTTTAATCGAGACCTGAAAAAACTCACACTCTACGAATTCGGCTGCGGTGTGGTCCACCGGGATTTTCCCAGTGTACCGACACTCCTTGCAGCAAGAAATCGTCTCCGAAGGAGGCGTGGTCAAAACTTCGGTGCCCGGCTGTCACGGCTTCTTGCCTTTGGCACCGCCCTTGCCGCCCTTGGAAGGAGTCGGGGTGATCGGTGTCTGCGAGGATTGCGAATTAGCGCCCTCCAACAAAGAGGAAAAGGGCGTTGTGGTCGAGGCAAAAGTTGCCTCCTGCTCCGCACGGAGTGTTGCACCGACTCCTGCGGGTGGCTTTCCTCGCGTTGTGGCCACCGAATAATCACCGATTTTTTCCGACTCCATTCGAAACTTATCGCAGTACTCGTCCCACGCAAAATAGATTTGGTCGACGACCTGCAAAGTCAACTCAAAAGGATACGGCTCATAGGCATTGGCATGTATGGCCACTTGGCTCCAATGGCGTTTGCCCTTGCCCATGTTAAGGCCCTTTCCGGTGCCTGCGGCTGCCCTGGAGGCTTCCGAAAACGCTTGGGCTTCGGCTTTGTCGAGCTCAAGCTGGGTACCCCACATGATCTGATTCCAAGTCTCCGACCACAGTGTCGGCTCCTCGGAATCAGGTAGGGGCGGTTTGGTCGAGAGGATCGCGCTCAACTCCGGCACGACCTCCAGACGGCCCTGAAAAGTGCCCTCAGACTGACTGTAAAAAAGTCGAGCCCACGCCGTGGCGTCGGCATGGAACTCGTTGTCCTGCTGTGGGGCCATGATCGTCAGGCTCTTCCACAAAATTGTCAGCTTGGTCTGGGCGGCATGGTCAGGGTGCTTGTTGATGCAACCCATGACAATGCGGAGTGGGGCCTCCAACTTTCGTTGCCACTGCGGGCTGCTCGGGGCAACCCGCACATGCTTTCCATGCACAGGTGTCGCCTCATCTTTGTACACTGGAACACCAGAGCTGCCCCCATATCGTTGGATAAATGCTTGGCGGGTATCCCACGACTTAAAAGTGAGCAGCGTCATGGTCGAGAAAAAGCCATCCTTTGCTGGGATGGTGGTGGGTTCTTGTGAAAGAACATTTAAAAATCGCGGCATCTCATGCGCGGTGTGGTCGGTGACAAACCCGCGGAGTACCAGAAAGTTCTTGAGGGGCTCCACTTGGGAGATCATCCACCCCACCATATAGACCCGGTCTGCCGGTGACATGTGCTCCGGCCATCCCGTCGTCAGCAACTGAAGTCCACATGCGTGCTTTTGGGCGAGTCGATTTTCGGAGCTCATCCACGAGAGCTCTTGGCGAACCGCGAAAACACGGTTGTCGATCGTCTTCAACCCAGCTTCAAGTTGGCAGACTAGGGCGTAGTACTCAGGACGAATTACACGCTCATGGTACACTCGCAGCATATCGAACACCTGCTTGTTGTTGGCCACCGGTTGCTGAAGCCAGGCCTCGACATTGCCGCGCTGGTTGATGTCCACACCGAGGTGACCAGCTGTAACCTCAAGGGCGGCTTGGTCTTGGAGGGAGAAAGGCTGCAGCAGGGATGGTCCATCGTCGGTGGCTCCAGCACCTTCGACGTCCATGCCTGCACCAGTTGCCTCCTCCTCTTGCGGTGTGACCGTGCTGCTCGCCACTGGCGTCGGTGTTGAACGCTTCTGCCTGGAGCGGGTCCAGTAAATGTCCTGCACGGCCTGGTAGTCCGGTCGGTTGTAGACCGCCTGCTGCTCCCTGAACTGCTGGACTGCCGATCCGTCGTGTCCCTGCATGCTCCCCGACATGGCGGCGAGTGAAACTTTCACCTTCCCGCTGAACGGGCGGTGTGGTCAGGGCTGGCCTGAGAAAATTTCTAGCAATCTCCTTGCAACTTGCAGCCGAAGCGCCTGGGTTTAGGGGTTAGGGTTTAGGGGTTTAGGGTTTAGGGGTTCAAGGGTTTAGGGTTTTAGTGTTTAGGGGGTTAGCAGTTTAGGGGTTTAAGGTTTGGGGTTCCCTCAGCCGTAAACCTTGGGATCCTAGTTATGGACCCATCGCAAAGATTCACCGGCTGCTTAAAAAGAAAACACGTTTAGCACTTCGGGACGGTCGAAAACAACAGCAGTTAATTCGTGTCCCTAAACCCTAAACGGGTTTACTATGAGGTTTGGTAGTTTGGCTTCAAAGGGTTTGGCAACCTGCTTGTATGTTGATCCATCTTGCATCGTTTAAAGAAGTTTTCGCTGTTGTCGGTGTCCGCGTGCGACAAGAAGACAACCCTCTGCACCGGGATGTCCAACTGTGCCAGGCGGAGTCCCCAGAACCATAACTGACCTCTGCGACTTGCAAGTGCGGCAGGAGCAAGCACGGCACCCGGGGCTTCACAGTCCACACCTTGGTTGCCTAGACGGACAGTATGTGGGTGACCATGGCGCAATTCCGCGACGAGGCATACTCGCACAAGCGTTCACGGCTCTACTCTCCCTTTTCGGCTGTAGTCCTGAGGTGAAGAAATATTGCCCCTCTCTGACGTGGTCTTTGCATCGCGCAAGCTTTGCATCGCGCAAGTCGCGCGATGCATGTGCAAGGAGGGGAGCAATGCCATCGAGGACCCTCAACTCGCGGCAATGCCCTACCAAGCCAACCTATGACAGTTTCTTTGACGCTACTTGGAGGATCATGGGACTTAGCAAGTATGGTTATAAGTACGTGAACTGGGCTATAAGTGTACAGTTACCTTAATAATAACCGTAATTACTTGTTACTAAGTCCCATGATCATTTAAGTATTATAGACAAACACTGCACCCTTGAGAAGCACGTATACGCTCTGCAGCAAGGAAGCTTGCAGCCCTAGAGCCCGATCCCATGCCGTTGACTCCTAGGACCCAGAGTAGAGTAGGCCCTTCTTCCTTTCGTTTTAGGGTTTAGGTTCCCTTATAATCCCCTTTAAACCAAAAAGGGCACCCTTCTTATTCCTAGGCTACTCTTAGGTCTAGACTCTTACAACCTCGATAGTTCATAAATTCACTATCCCAACCTCCAGAATCCCGAAATCCTCAATCCGGTGTAGGGCTTCGAGTCCTTAACCCACCGACCTGAAACCTCACGAGCCTCGGGCCTAAGCTTTGGGGGTTTGGGGTTTTAGGGTTTAGGATTTAGGAGGTTCAAGGGTTTCGGGGTTAAGGGTTTAGTTAGGGTTTGGGGTTCACGGTTTAGGATTTAGGAGGTTCAAGGGTTTAGGGGTTAAGGGTTTATCTAGGGGTTGGGGTTTTACGGTTTAGGATTTAGGAGGTTCAAGGGTTTAGCGGTTAAGGGTTTAGTTAGGGTTTGGGGTTTTACGGTTTAGGATTTAGGGGGTTCAAGGGTTTAGGGGTTAAGGGTTTAGTTAGGGTTTTGGGATTCAAGGGTTTAGGGTTCCGGTATACAACTTCTCACCCTACTACGCCCAAGCCCGTACGTAAACACCAAACTCTCAAAGTAGCCCTTGTACCAAACCATCTGGCAACCTTGAATTACACCATCTGGTGAAGAGCCCTTAAAGGGGAACCCTTAAAGGAACCCTTTTGTAGCAAGATAGCAGCCTAGGTAGTTTGCATGCTGAATATGCTGCTATCTTAGGGTTTATTGTCATGTGATACTTGTACTGAAATTTTAAACAGAAACCATATTGAAACTACAGGCCCCTACACTCACTCAACCCTAAACCCGAAAGCCAAGCGCTGAAACTTCCCCCCACCACCGGGAAAAGGAGGAGGCGTTTGCCGAGCTGCCATCCATCGTTGATCTCAAGTGGGATTCCTCAGTTCTTCGTGGCCGGGGGGAGTGGGTGTAGGATTCAGGGTTTAGGAAATTAGGGCTTAAGGGTTCGTGGTGTAGGGCTTGGGGTTTAGGGTTGAGGGTTTGGGGAGCTGTGGTACTCCAGGGGCTTCAGGGTTTGGGATGTACGTAGGATACAGGGTTTTCGCTTTAGGGTTCAGGGTTGAGCGGGGCGTAGGGTTTGGGATTCAGCGTTTGGGGATTGACCTGGGCTGGGTTTTTCCAAAGCTTCCAGGGGGTTGCATAAGGCTGTTGTGGGCTGCAGGATTAAGGAGTATCTTATTGGCTGTAAACTCAACTTTTTCATTCTGATAAGGTAGTCGATTCTGAAAGTTTCAACTTTTAGTTCCTTTGGTTTTGGGCCAGTGAGGTATAGGCTTGCCTATCGGGCTTTTTTTTTGTGATTTCTGGTGGGCCTTTCGGCTTCATGCTGCTGAGTTCCGCGGTTGGCTATGATGACTCTTGGGGCTTTGAGTCTCCTTGTATTTGCAGCAGCAGTCGGGCAAAAAGTAAATACGAGGTCACCAAGGCAGCAATATGACTGCGGTTTATTGCGAGCTTCCTGGAGGGAGAGTTAGAGCGAGAGCGCGAGGGCAAAAGCGAGTGGGAGCGAGAGTGAGGGCGAGAGCGACGAGGCGAGAGCATGCGACGGAAAGCGAGAGGGAGAGACAGCTAGGAAGATCCGAGCAAATAGTCCCTGAACAGTGGCACTTTCAAGCTAGGCCTTCACTGTTGTCCTTCAGGCCCAAACCACAACACTCTGCAGCTTGAACCCTAAAAGCTAATCGCATGCAAAGCCTGAAACCTTCTGAACTGAAGCCCTGGTAACATAAACCCGTGAACCGGAAAATCCTTAAGGTCCTGCATCCACCGTAGATGTTGCCCTCCCTGTCAGAACCCTTAACTACAGAGCCTTCTTTTTTATATAACCCTTATCCGATATCCTGGTGCAGCAACACATCCGCCCAGGAATGCCATGTGCCGAGCCAAAGACATCCAGCCGCTGCACTCGGCAGTTTTTCTACATCGCGCACATGCCCATTTCAATAGTGTCAATGCTTTTTGCAAATTGTTTTCCGACTTTAGGAGGACAGTGTGAATCCCAAGCCCGAAACCCTTCCGCTCTATAATTAGAGTTTGAAACTAGGGCCACCCCACTCACGCTACATGTGACCGCAACCAGAAGCATGACCTATTTCTTGACCCTTTGAGTAAGCCCATGGTGCAAATGCACTTAGATCTTCAGCTTTAAGCCCTATATGTGCTATAGAAACCCCTCCGCACAAAGTCCTAAATCGTGCAGTGTCTTACATTCCGAAACCCTAACATCTATGGTCCGGACTAGTCTCTGTTAGTGTAACCCTGATATGGCAACCCGTATAGTCGTCTTGTGGCAGACAGTGCACACTGGAAGAGCTGCCGAGCCAATTACGAGCATTTGCCGCATTTGCTGCAAGATCGCCCACACAGGTCCCCGAATTTTCCAAAAGACTTCGAAAGCTGCCCCCCCAATGTCAGGGCTGTATACGGGTTAATGGCTTTAAGGGTCGATGTTCCTAATGATTGCACATTTAGGGCTCGTCATGCTTACCCCCTATAAAACCCCATAGTCGCCTATGAGAGCCTTTAAAGGGAACTCCAGAAAGTTGGAATATGGCTTCAGGGTAGGATACCCTATAATTTACCATACTAGTAGAAGGGTTAGGATAATCATATTCCAACTTTCTGGTTTTTACCTTAAGCCCAAGAGCCGAACCAGGTCCCTTGGACCCATGGGTAGAGCTTGGCCGGGCTTGGGGGTTTACGTTTCGAGTGTAGGACCCGAGGGGGTTCCTTTAAAGGGATCCTTAGAGGGTTCTATAAGGGATCTTAATAGGGTTCTATATTCTATATGGGAGGTTGTCAAAATTAGGGTTCCTTTTTGGGTCCCTAACAAAGTACGGCACCTAATTTTTTGGGGTAACCAAAAAGGGGACCCTAATTTTGACAACTACCCACAGCAACACCTGTCCTCCATTGGAACCATAGAAGCTTTCAAGATCTGAGTCCAGATATAGTCTACAGTACACGATCTAAACACGACCAGGGACTGTGTGATTTGATGCATGGCTTCCAGCTGAGGTCAGCTTCAATGCTCCGTCTCTTCCTGGACCGTGACGAGGACGGGCGAGTTTTGCATAATCCTTAAGGGTCCATGTACCCAAATAGTATATACATTGGCCCCAGTGTACCTATATAGGGACCACTTTCAGGCCAATGTATATATTATGTCGGCACGTGGACCCTTAGGGAATGTGGCAAGGGTTTCAGAGTGCAGATAAGCTCGGAGTGTCAGGGTTAAAAGCAACAAGCTCTAAGCCCAGACCTGTTAAGCCCACTGCTCCGTAAAAAGCAAACTGCAATCGTTCATGCTTCAAGGTGTGGGGTTTTGGATTTTGGAGGCATGCTTTCTCGGGGGAGCAGTGGCTCAGTCGGTAGGTCCTGTGCAGGATGTGTTGAAGCTGCTGATGATCACGATGCTGCCGGGGATTCGGGTTTAGGCTTGAAGGCTTGGGCTTGAGGTTTCATGGTGATGGTGAGGATGTCACGTGCACAGGACCGCCTGCCGCTACAGGAGCACCGGGGCAAGGGCGGGTTGGGATTTTGACAGTAGGGGGTTTTAGAGATCTTTGTAGGTCTTCGTCGGGTTTTGAGCATTCGCGGCTGTATAGTGTTGATACTTGTATCGGGTTTGCTACAGGACTTTACAAGTCTTCTCTAGAGGTGTATAGACAGCCGTATGGGCATTTGGGGATGAGGAGTTATAGTGGCTAAGGGTTCATGGTGGGGCGTCTACGGCCTACGGTTTTGACTTTAGACCTTTCGGGTTAGGGTGTAGGGTCTACATAGTGCTTCGGAGTTTGATGTTGAGGGGGTAGGGCCCATCCGACGAACGAGAAACCCTCTTGTTTTAGCGTGCTTCCGTGTTGGGATTATATGGAAGTCTTCGT